TTCTACCCGAACCAGTATAAACCTCGTGTCCTCTTAGCACACCATCCGAGCCAGACGCGCAATATTAGAAATTTACTAGTCGGTGGCAACTCGAAACACCGACAGCGCTGCTGGGCTACGAGGAAATGAGGGTGAGGAGCAGGCCTTCGGTCCAGATTGAGAGAGGGGGAGGATTTTCATTTTCCAATTTTCAAACCTTTCCTATTTTCCTTTTTTAATCCAAATTCAAATATGATCCAAATCAAATTCAAATATAGTTTCAAATATACTTTTCAAGATGAGAACTTTTGAGAAGTTTCCAAAACTAAACTTTTGCAAACTTTTGAAAACTCTTTTATTTTCTTTTTTTTCTTTTATTTCCAAGCTATTTTCAAATTCATTTTAAATAAATTTGAATTTTAGATCAAACCACTCATCACAATAAACAAAATGAAGTGGCATGAATGCACATAAATGTTGCTAAACCTTATATTTGATTTTAAATTTTAAATAAGTTATCATTTTCCTAAATTTGAATGCTCACAAAATGCATAATTAACTCAAATTCATCTATTTCAAAATCATGCAAATTTTTAGGGTGTTACAATTCTACCCCCCCTTAAGATGAATCTCGTCCTCTATTTGGAAAAGAAGAGCAAAGAAGAGAGGGATACTTCAACTTGAGATCTTCTTCACTTCCTTGAGCGACACCATCTTGATACTCACCTTGTGTTGTATGAGAACTCATCACGTGGCCACTCTTGCAGATTCTTATTCCATCTCATTCTAAGTCTGGTCTTGTTGCTTCTCTTAATTCGTTCCAGTGAATCTTATTATCCATATGTTAAGCTTCCAAAAGATCTTGCTTAGCTTGAATCAGAACTTTGAATTTTACCTTTCAAAAGGAAGACTTTAAACCAAACAAATTTTATTTTTCAATTCCTTTTGAAATAGCTTTCAAAATAGAATATGTTTTATGTTTAGAACTCAAGAAAATATTTCAATCATGTTTTGAAACTCTTTTGAATATATATTTTTAAGGTTTTGAAATAAACCCAACTATTTTCAAATCATTGGAGACTTGGGGAAACATATTAAGCTTTGTTTTTTCAACTCTTTTGAAAACTTGACTTTACAATCAAGTCTCAAATAAAGAGCAGACAAATCAACTCAGGTTCATTCGAAATCTACATTAAACACAGGATTTTCATGATTTTAGAAAACAAATGAAACATTTGAACTTTATTTACAAATCACTTTGAATGAACTCTTTTTGGACTTCTGAAATCAAACCAAATCAATTTCAAAGCTTCTTTAGAAATGAAAAGAGTAAGTTTTCAATTTTCATTCTCTTTTTGAAGTCAAATAAAAGATTTACACCACATTTTCAAATTCTTTTTGGAATAAGCCTTTTGGGAGATCAAATCAAATAATTTTCAAATCATTCAAACCCTTTTCGGAAGACTTGTTTTAGAAATACACTTTTGAAACCAATCAAACCTTTTCTTTTCATATTTTATTTTGAAATCAAACTTAATTCAAATTTAAAACCAAAAGCGCTCATTTTCCAAATGCAAAAGGTTGCAAACTTTGAACCAAACTTTTCGAACTTTTGTAAATATCTTCAGAGCATTTTGAACACCTTTCCAGTAAAATTTGAAATAAGATAACTAAAATTGATTTTTTTCTTTAATCGGTCTTTTCCAAACAACCCATTAAAAAACATTTTTGAATCATTTTGAAAGTGTTTTTAGAATAAGACTTTGAATAGCAAACGAAAACATTTTACTTTTTTTTGTTCAAAGCAAAGTAGGTTTTCAAATCTAAATCCACTTTCAACTTTTGAAGTTTTAGAAATAAAATACTTTCAAACTCTTTTTTTTAAACTAACCCTTGGGTGAAGTAGTTCAAATCAAATTGTTTTCTTTTGAATCACCAAAAGAGTCTTTCAAAATTCAAAACTTTTGAAATGTCTCAAATATAGTCTTTAGCAACTCTTTTTGAATCTTTTAAACTTTAATACTATTTTCAAATCAACTCTTATTCTTTGGTGAAATACTTTTGAAATTAAGATTCGAATACCAACTCTTGAAAATGAGAAAACAAACTTAAACCCTTTTTGAACTTAGTTCAAAACAACTTTTGAAGAAGTTTTTCAAAGTTTTTGAATCAAAAGGCTGCTAATTCATTTTTCAACATCTTTTGAAGATTTTATTTCAAGGAAAGGGCTTTAAATAGAAATCAAAACCAAACCAATTTTCTTAAGAGTTAATCTTGGTATTGAGCATTCTTGCAACTCATTGTATACGTCTATATCTTAGGTACGTGAAGATCGAACTCCCAACCATAGCTAGCTCGAAGATCAATCTTGACGTAGATCCGACCTCCTTGTAGTTCACCAACTCTCAACACTCTTAGCTTGGCTAGCCCCCTTAAGAAAAGATGAGATAGGGCACCAACATCCAACTTATAACTTCCTCCAAGGTGTATTATCATCCTTTGACATGCCAGAGAGCTTGTGGATATAGGTAAGTATAAGAAAAATTGATCCTTCCTGTAGACAAAAAACAGTAGCGCAGGAAAACATCCATATCTCAAGTTCTGTTTATCCAGTAAAGTTGCAATCTTAAACCATTGGAAAGCTTATAAAATTCCCTGCACCTTTCTTATTAGATTAACCGATTCTTCCAAGTGAGAGCTAGAGAGCATAACTGAACTTCAAATGGCACCTTGAGCATTTGGATCCTTCTTAAATTCACCACGCTTGTCAATAGGTGGTGCTTGATGTGGGTTGTTCAACACACTTTGAGCAATAGTCTGTAATAACTGAGTCTGTGTCATCAAAGCTTGCTTTATAGATAGGGGATTAGGTGGCGGTGGATTAGAATTGGTAGGATTCCTTCCTAGTGAGAGCTAGAATCTACAAGACCACCTTCACTTAGACTACCCCCTTAAGAAAAGATCAACTAGGGAACCCAAAAAAAGGTAGCTTGCACCTTCTTCCAAATAAGCTAACTAGTATCAAGATGTTCTGACATCCCAAGGATACTCTCGTGTATGGCAAGAACAAGAAATTTGAAATTCCTCGCGAGCAGAAAAACAGCAATGCAGTAAAACAGTTGTAACTTTCATTCTGTTAATCCAATGAAGTTGTAGCTTATACCATTGGAAATCTTATGAAATCCTCCCCAACTTCCTTATAGAGCACTTTTTCAAATTCTACAGTTCATGTAGTCGAAAATAGTGCACAACAGAAACTACTCCAGGCTTCAGACAGCATAGGTGCTTCGTCTTGTGATTTTCATCACTCCACAACCAAAATAGCTATTAGGGTGATTCTTGTGGTTAGAGAAAGATATTGAAGTCTACTATTGTCCAGAATTCCCTCATGATTTTTGGTGGTCCAAAAACAGAGATATAAGCCGATAAAGATAGGTTGCTCCGAAAGACAGGATAGAGAAAACAGAAGATAACCAAAACCTAACTATTTATTTCATTAATCCTTATACCTTAGGCCTATGAACTAAATGAAATTGTGGGAACACCCAACAAGATCATTGCAATCATTACAAAGATTCAAAACAAGCAGAAGCATAATGACAATTCAACAAAGCAATAAAGGTGCACAACTCAATCATTGACTCAACTTGCGATACTATCGTTTTTATTACATAAAGGGCACAAACTCCTATTCCTTAACTAAGGTGTGGCTGCGAGGGCATCATCATTAATGGGGCGCTCAGCTCATCTCGAGATAGCAGGAAACACTCCATCAAAAGTACCATAACTCCTTGATACGAGATCCAATGAAACTGGTTTTTGACTTGTTGGAAAGAGCGCGTCGTCCTCTTTCAGATGGGTCCAACCCCACTATCAGAATCTACCGAAGCTGTGCGCAGCTAGCAAAAGGACGCACAGACCTACAGCTTGGGCCTGGACCTTGTACTAACTACAGCCCATTGAGGGACGTCCAGATTAGGGTTTCCCACTCCCCCTTGTGCTCTCCTCCTTATAAATAGAACCAGCAACCATCAGAATGAGGGTGGGTTTTGTTTAGATGCAAGATAGCTGCTGCTTCTTCCTTGTAAACGCGTGTGTCGGTTAGACCACCCGATTTGCTTGTTTCAAGACCCCAACTTGTGATTCAGATTCAGCCTTTGGCTTAAATCCGTGAGTTATTTGCTTGTTCATCTTGTTCTTGCTTGTTCTCGGTTGCTTGCAGGTTCATGGTGTTCTTGGCACGGCAAGAACATCACAATCGGAGCTGGTGTATCTGTTGCTAAGGCACAGCAACCTTGTGGTCGTTGTAGTCGGACAGCCAACGTTAAATCCACCCTAAATCGAGTTTATCCACACTCACCAAAAGATCAGGAACAACCCCTTGTCCCATCACATTCACTCTACAAGATTGTGTAACTGTGCCATCTGCTATACACATCCCCATGAACATTGAACTGAAACTCCGAATCCTCTGGTCACAGATTTGCAGATATAGTCAATCAGGGTCAGTATACCTGCAGTAAAAAGCCATCTCAAGCTGAAGTTTACAGTAACAAGCAAAAACTTTGTCAATATTGTTTGACCTTTACATGGCAATACAACCTTCAAAAGAGGGGTAATTCACAAGACCAGCAGACTTTTATGCTAAAAATTATTTTGGCTTCGCTGATAAAAGCAGTGCACCATGCTACCTTATCAAAACTGAACCAGCTGATAAATTCTTTTGGCTTCCGCTGATAGTTGTGACATGCACGTACTCAGTTTCTTCTAAAAAAGGGCGTACCAGCGCAGAGAGCTCCCGCTCTGTGCAGGGTCTGGGGAAGGATGTTAGTGACAAACCTTACCCTCGTCTGTGCAATGCGAGGAGACCGCGACTCGAACCCAGGACCTTCCGGTCACAGGCGGTAAGATTCTACCACTTGCACCGCGCCCTTCGTACTCAGTTTCTTCTCTATATCAAAATTGTAGTCATTTGAAATATCACTACATATAATCACAACTACTACAAATGTAACTACTACTTATGCAGCAACAGCCTGCGCTTCAGATGCAACAATTTTGTAGAACAGACTCAAGCTTGTGCGTGCAATTGGCTCCCCAAATAATGTTGCTGTCGACGACCTGAGAATTTTCACCTCAACGAAGTCACCAACCACTGGCTTACGTGCTTCTTCACCTTCGAACGTGTGTGGTACAGGGACACTGGCAAATGACACCTTATGTCCCCTATCAGTCTTCCCTATCAGCTCCGTTTTGGGAGCACGCTTATTGGGTCCCTCGACAAGAACAAGCTGCACTGTACCAATTTGAGAATCGTAGTTCTTCTTTGTGGTCTCGCGGAAGGTGTTGATTAGTTCCATGAGTCTCCTCTGCTTGACATCTTCGGGGACATCGTCCTCATAATTCCGGTGAGCATGAGTCTTCTCTCTCATGCTATATGCAAACATGTAAGCCATATCATATCCAACAGCCCTTACAAGGCTGAGGGTCTCAGCATGGTCATCTTCTGTCTCTCCACAAAAGCCTGCAATACATCAGAAATATACATCCCAAATTAAAGCATAGAAGATGAAACTAACAAAATTGCATGCCACTATGAATGATTCGAGAAATTTGGGATACCTAAGTACATATCTGACATAATTACATAAATATCGCCAAATGCTAGAGCTACTGTTATAACTTAATCAATCAAGTAATCTCAATCTCATTTAAACTGCCATTCATACCAGAGAACTAGCAAAGACTCCATGACCTGTGCCGAAACAGCTTTGTAGCATCATGATATAAGAGCTGTCCACATCTCCAAAGTTACTTGCTAACTAGTTGTAAAATTACTGCCGTATTCCAGTTTATCAATATATACAACGAGATAAATGTTAACCTTTTTTTTCATATATCAATAAGCCATTCCACTCAAATTATGAAGCGAACAAGTCTTAAGCAAGAGCAGGAGAAATAAATGGAGGATTCAGATTCAATTAAGGCAAACACAGGACATGATCTGTATGATACCTAATTCTAAATTGTAAACAAAGCATACCATTGTTATAAACATCTAAAACTTTAACGAAAATGGAAACAAATTGGTCAAACAGGAACTTAACATTCAATAAAGATATCGCCTCAATGCAGCACACCAATTTTAATCCTTTTTTTTATAAGTTCTTCCATCGATACTAGATATGAAGTACATCTATGAGGTTATCTTGCTAGTTGAGTAGTGAATATAAATTGGTTCTAAATTCGAATTGGTCTGTTATAGCTCCTTACCACATGAGCCACTCTATAGTCTATATGGACATATGGTCAATTCTCACTCTTTTTGACACATCCATAGAAAAAAGAAAAATATCCATTCTGGGAGTACTTTGTTCAGAAGATCACGACTATGGAAAATCAGGAAACACAAACAAGTTAATCTAGTTAAGCCAATGCAGACTATGGAAAAAAGAAAGCTTACCGGTTATGAAATCACTGCTTAGCCCAACATCAGGAATGACATTACGAATTTTGTGCACAAGTTCTAAGTATGCTTCTCGAGTGTAACCCCTCCGCATTCGTTCCAGCACTGCTGTACTGCCTGTTTGTGCTGGTAAGTGAATAAGATTGCAGATGTTATACCTATCCCGCATCAAATACAGTAGCTCATCTGGGAAATCCTTTGGGTGTGGTGAGGTAAACCTGAACCGCATCTCAGGGTATTCCAAAGATAATCTATCCAGGAGATCAGCAAAACGCAACCCCATATTCTTCACCTTGCACATGCTGGAAAATCCTTCACTGAGTTGCCAGTTTTGGCCAGGCTCCAATTCTTCTACTTCAGAAGTGTCATTATAACTGTTAACATTCTGACCAAGAAGCATTACTTCCTTCACACCAGCTTTCCACAGTTCACCAACCTCGCGGACAATAGAAGACACTGGGCGAGACCTTTCCCTACCTCTAGTGAAGGGAACTATGCAGAATGAACACATATTATTGCAACCTCTCATGATTGACACAAATGCTGTAACTGAATTGTCAGAGATCCTTACTGGGGTGATATCAGCATAAGTTTCCTCGAGTGATAGAAGTGTGTTCATACCCTTGTGGCCATAATCGACTTCCTGGAGCAACCTAGGCAAATCCCTATATGCATCAGGTCCACAAACAACATCAACCATCTTATCAGAATCGAGTATTTTCTCCTTCAGTCGCTCTGCCATGCACCCCAGGACAGCAATCTTGGGAGGCCGCAAAGATTTTGATCTACCTTCAGCAACATTAGCTTTCCATTCCCTTTTCAAAAACCAAAAGTAGTTGAGACGCTGCCAGACTTTCTGCTCTGCATTGTCACGGATGGCACAGGTGTTGATAAATATTATCTCTGCACTCTCAGGGTCAGGGACAATTTCATCATAACCTTCATTTTTCATGATAGAAAGCACAATCTCCATGTCATTTATATTCATTTGGCAACCATATGTCTCGTGGTAGATGCGTCCCTTGCTTGAAGTTGTTGAACCAGCCACTAAACTAGACAAACCAAAAACATTATGATTGTTATATTCCATGCTAACAGCAATCACCATAGGCAGACATAAATCACAATTATAACCAATTGAGCATGGTACATTAGAACAATGAAGGTTTTCAACTCTTTAAAATCTGCTGCTATAAGGAACAGAATTACCAATGATCGGAGAAAGTGGTATAGCTTGGAATTGGTTCATAGTTACTGCCAACTACCAATTAGTCTAGTTTGCAACCTTCTTAAACACCAAAGGCAAATCAAAACTGCTTGAAGCAATACCGAGCTGAAAAATCATACTATATATATTATATCCTTAGCACCAGTCAACGAATAATCTATCAGAATGGCTGTTTAACGTATGTTTTTATAGTTTTACTAATGGTGCAACAAATAAGTTTCCACTGATATAACATCTTCATACAGCCTCTTACTGTACCATGAAAATTAACCTTGGAAAAAACATAAAAGTGGTGCCAAACCACTTGAGCATATCCACAGTCCTTACTTCCTAAGTTCCTCAACAATCAAAACAAATTCAAAACCAACATTATTGAGTGCCATCATGCTACAAGCAAGTTCCATACTCCATAACAGGCCTATAACAAGATAGGCACCCAATATAGAGGAACCAGATCCACACGGCACCAGTCAATTCTTCTGAAAATCTAGTGGAAATTCCACCTAGTAATTCACACTACCCACTGCCACTAATACACATTTCAAGCAGTTTTTACATGAGAACTCGCCCCTCCATTAGTTGACATAAGAAGCAAGTAGTACCAGCTTAACCACATTGAATCAAACAGTCACTCATTTCTTTCCTATATACTTCCCCTTCTCCTTCCTACGGCCTAAACCCAATTTGCATGAATTTGAGGCTCCACTTCCACTAGAATCCCAAGCACTTGCACGAGTGCGAGCACCATATACTAAAATCCGGAATCACATTGCAACGCACTACAAGCCAAAAAAAATAAATCGGACTACACTTCCGCAGAGCAGCGTAGTAGCCTTTAAGGTGGAGAGGACGGGGAATAGAAATAGAGCAGAGCCTTACTCCGTCTGGCCCTCGGAGACGGCCGTGGCCGCAGAGGCGGCAAGAGTGCGGGCGAGGCGGCGAGGAGGCGGCGGGGGCGTTGGGAGCCGGCGTGCAGCGGCCGGGACGGCGGAATGATGTGGTTGGGGAGCGGAGGAGCAGGGGCGGAGCGATGCGAGGAGGATGCGGTGGCGGTGGCGGTGGCGGAGGCCTCGGCTCCCGAGGCGGAGCGCCGCGGCGGCAGTGAGGGGGGCGAGCGCCGCCGCCATCGCGTTCGGGTGTGGTGGTGTGGCGTGAGGAGACGAGAGGAGGGGTGACGAGAGCGGCGGCGAGGATAACTGCTTGGAGTCACGGCGTCCGTCTGATCGACGAGGAGCGGCCAGGAAAAATCGCTGTTCCAAGATTCTCGATTCTTGAGGATACACACATTCAAGTTGATCTCTCTGTTATAAAAAAAAATCGATTTTCTTGATTCTTGTGCATCATCGCATCTGTCTGCTCTCTCCAGTTTTAAATGAAACTTATATATAAATAAAATTGCAATTACAGTTATGCCGTTTTCCAGGGATACATCTCAATGTTTAAAAAACTTGCATTTTCTCTTGCGCATCAATCGAAATTACAATTGATCATATCATATTGTACGTATATTTCACATATTCGAGCTCTTGTAGGTGTTTTTTTTTTTTGAGTGGATATAGTTAGGGTGAAGAATATTAAATGACTCTAGCAACACAGGAATCATTACCTCTGCTGATGAAAAAAGTTCTCCTACAAGATCTATGATAGACAAATTCCGAAAGGCTATTTTACGGCGGATATCATCAAGCTATGGCCACTAATACCGACAAAAAGAAAATATGCTTTTGCACCAACTACAATCTGTACTACTAACCGGCGCAGCTAAAAAATTGACGTATCAATGTTGCTCATTTTCACGCTAGCGAAACAAAATGCACATTCTGAAAATTTTCTTTGCCATTACAGATCTTGCTCAGGTATTTGGGCTTCATGAATCATGATGGAGGCGCACTCTGGTTTCCTTCCAGTCCGGATGGCTGCTGCATCTTCAGGAGGTGATGAAGACCGGCGATAACATGCTGCCGGCTGGTTGGTACTCCAGTCTTCGCTAGAGCTCTGCCGTGCTTGTCCAGGAGCACAAAGCAAGGGACGTATCTGACATCATAATGCAGAAGCTGCAAGTGGTTAAAAACAAATTGACTGTTAGAATTTTGAAATCATTTCAGTTTTTACATAGATGCTTGGAGCAGTAGCATGATCCTCCTATGCAGAGTTGCAGATGTACATACAAGAAATAATAAGGTCATAATCCAAACTAGGCTGGTAAACAAGGACTGGTATTTATGGCAGCAGAAGCACAACTCAGTGCTTATTCATTGATCTATAAGGCTTAGCTTCAATCAAGAACTATTGAAATGCTGAGACCTCTAGTTATTTCAGCATCCTAACTAGACAGAATAAACTCTAACTGCCTCATCCACATGGGAAAATTGATAATTTCAAACTTGCCATTTGCCAATATCTCTAAAAGGAAGAGATAGCAGACTATAGCTTACTTGTACAGTTAATACCCAAAATTGACACAAGTCCATGTTTTAAATAACTAGCAGCCCCACCAGAAATATCACACATCCCTACACATGCAAAATTATCAGAGCAGGTTTTCCATCAACCCGCATGTAAACCTAAGTTGAACTCTCTACTCACACTCTTCTTCTGAAAAGTAACCTAACCTACAGGCCTATTTAAAAAGATAATACTCTGGCCTTGTTTTTAAGGCAGACGTCACTAACTTTAACTGAATTTGTAGAAAAATGTATCAGCACCTGCAAGTTCAAATAAGTGTACTATCAAAATATATTTCATGGAGAATTTAATGGAACTAATTTGATGTTGTAGTTGTCAGTACATTTTCCTAGAAGCTTGGTCAAAATAAAATAAGTTTGACTTAGGACAAAGCCTAAGTAAATTATAATTTGGAACAGAGGGGGTACTTAATACTTACTAACTACTAAATGGCAAATGCACATATTGCAACATTTCCCCCTTGGACACCAAATGACTATACCATAATTAATTAGTTACTTTAACAGTTAAGTAAACCGTATACATATGCCACAGCAATTGACATATTGCTTCATTGGTGAAAAACTGGTGAAGAAAGTAGATATCACACTGAGATGCCTGGTTGCAATTCAACACTCTTGACGGCTAGCTGGCCAGCCATGATAAAGTTGAACAAATTACTGCTTCCACCACCAAGGATTATAATGTTCAACCATCTGACAAATCTTCAACCAGTCATACTAATGTCTGAATGTGACCACTTCTGATCTGACAAATCTTAAGAAACAATATTTACTTGTGGAACAAAACAACAAGAGTAATAGCAATATCTACATTCTACAGTGCCAAGGTCCTACTCGTCCTTTCACTGTCCTACAAAGTACTTGAATACTAACCAAGCAGAAAAAGATCATTACTACTCATCATCGTATCATTATGGATGTGTATTGTCATGGCATTGTCCCTCACGCTGTGCAAGTCACATAACTTGAATGCAATATTTCGCCCAAACAGTATGATGACCTACCTGAAGTCTTGAAACTGACAGAGTAGGAGCTAAATAGGACAAATAAAACCCAAGAACCTTAAAAGAAAGAAAGAAATAAACTCATTTACCATGGAACCTACTGATTTTCCAATCCTCAACTTCTCATCACCAAAGCACAACATAACATCTATTCATCACAAATTGATCAGAACAAGACCAATATGGCTAAATTACCGTTGCAAAGGCAAAATTAATCAGAACAATACATATCTGGCTAAATTACTGTTGCAAAGTTTTTTTTTCCTAAATCGACATCACAAATCTGAGCATTTTTCTGAATAGAGCATTTGAAAAGAAGATTGCAAGGGACGACTCACCTCGGGGAGCCATCGGTCGTCCTCGGCATCAGCGAGCACGAAACTGGCGGAACCGCTAGCACCATCCTCGAGCTCGCGCACGAGGTCCCGCAGAGAGGCGCACAGGCGGCAGCGCGGCAAGTAGAACTCCAGCACGGTGGCGGGACTCCCGCTCGCGAGCGCCGCCGCCAGGGCCCGCTGCTCCGCGTCCCCGCGGTCCGCCTCCACCACCGCGGCACCCGTGCGCCTCTGATGCCCCCATAATCCTCCGCCGGCAGAAGAGGCGGGAGAGGGGAGGTCGCCCGCGATGAGGAGGCCCTGCGAGAGGGTGCGGATGGACTTGAAGAGCCAGGGGAGCTCGAGGTCGCCGCAGGGGCTGGGGCTGGGGCTCGGCGATGGGCTAGGATTAGGGTTAGGGCTCCATGGCCATTTGAAGCATACGAGGGGAGGAGGCTTCCCGGCGGCGCCCATCTCCGGTGGGTCGTCGCCGGCAAGGGGCCGCAGCGGAGGGGAGATGTGAGGCGCACGTGGGAACGAGAGTTCGTTGCAGAAGTCACTGGCAGAGGGGCCGATAAGTGGGAAGTGTTGGGCCATCTGTCAGTAAGGTCAATAAAGCCCACATGTCATTGATCGATCGAGGTTATGGGGCCTGTTACAGGCCTCAATGTCTCATGGGCTGGGGTACGTACTTGTTCAGCAATGTTGATTGGACTGGGCTTCCAGGGTTTTCTAGCCCGCGTCTTCCGATAGTTCGATGGGCCCTTTGAACCTTCGTTTTCCTTTCCCGTCTACTCTCTTGGAGAGCACATTGAGCATGTATACATGTGTGTCTTTACGCTTTTTTTAGATAATGACGATGTGTGCATGCCTACGCTTAATTCTAGTAGTTTATATTATTTCTTACTAGCAAAAGTGTCCAAACGTTACAACGGGTTACTATTTTTCACTCTTAAATTGTTAACACCTTCCTCATAATTCTGTCATCTTTGAATCCATCTACGACAATATATATCGACACCTTTGAGACACCTTTGATGACAATATATATCGACACCTTCAAAGCACCTACAAACACATTGGTCAGTCGTCCACCTTTACCAGAGTAGTCATGCACGGGTGGGTCTGAAATTGCATGCGCTAGCGGCTTCATTGATGACTGCTTGATGTTCGTCTTCCTTAGTCGTACAACAAATTTGCCTCTCCTTATGCACGGTCGCGCTGAGTGGGACTGAGGACTGAACTCGTTCATCCACAAAAGCTAATGTCATCCACAAAGCTAGTGTGTTACAATGTTGGTACATGATATATTTTTTATTAGATGGTTTTGCTGCTACAATCAATACATAGCCCGCGGGCTCTAAAATTAGGAATATTTTGCCTGTGCATTGCAATCAAAGAAAAGAATTAAAACAATGTACGAAAGTTAATAGCATAATGCACAAAATTATTTTTGAATCAATAACAATTTAACTGTCCTAAAACATCGTAGCATAAGATTGTAGATAAGTCTGCTCTTCCAACTTTTGCCATGTGCACCTTTTTGCTACCAAAGACTGTGATTAAGCAGATTGATCAGTTCAGGAAACATTGTCTGTGGAGAGGCTCATATGTTAATCATAGGAAACCCTCCAAAGCTGCTTGGCCAATGATTTGTCTACCCAAAGAGGAAGGGGGGCTGGGAGTTATTGACTTAAGAACTCAGAATGAATGCCTCCTTCTCAAGAATTTTTATAAAATTTTCAATTAGATGAATATTCCCTGGGTTCAACTTGTATGGAGTAAACAGTTTGCCTTATGTAGAGGGTCATCCAAAGGGCTCATTTTGGTGGTGTGATGTCTTAAAACTTCTAAATAAATTCAAAGATATTGCTGTTGTCTCAATCAGGAATGGGGCCACTTGTCTTTTATGGCATGATCTTTGGGAAGGTAACATATGGATGGAACATTTTCCTGAGCTATACTCTTTCTGTCGTGATAAATTTATATCTCTAAAGGTCAGGGTTTTCAATTTCGGTATTGCAAAAATTTCGGCCACCACCGAAACTACCGAATTTCGCGAAATTCGGCCGAAATTTCGGCAAATTTTTTTTAGAGACTAGCACATGAAGTATGCTTTTTCTAAAAAAAACATTTAAATCTAAACAAATATTAGTATGATTTATGACTACACATCTATTGAATACAAAAATATGCAATATAAACAATAAAAATTTGAGTCTAAAGTTATATAACACATGTATTAGTGTATTACAAAATTTCGGATTTTTCTTTCGGCCACCACCGAAATTACCGAATTTCACGAAATTTTGAACCCTACTAAAGGTGGCTGTCAGTGAGCCTTTGCCCCAGCATTTGTTTCAGGCCACGTTTAGTTCCCCACAATTCCAAACTTTGGCACTATGCAAAAAAAAAAGATTCCTCATCACATCAAACTTGTGGTACATGCATGTAGTACTAAATGTTGACGAAATAAAAAACTAATTGCACAGTTTGATTGTACTTTGCGAGACGAACGTTTTGAGTCTAATTAGCCAATGATTGGACAATTATTACCAAATAAAAACAAAATGACACTGTAGCTACACTGTCGGTTTGTAGTGCCAACCGATAGTGACGGTTGCTTCAAGAGTATCGGTTCTTGGCTCAAGTCAGCAGTGTTGAGCAAGCCTACACTGTCGGTTCATGGATCAAACCGGCAGTGTTGTAGTAAATATCAGTGTCGGTTCATGGATCAATCCAGCAGTGTTCTCGTAACTATCAGTGTCGGTTCATGGTTCAAGCCGGCAGTGTTGAGCAAGCCAACACTGTCGGTTTCCTTCTAACCGGCAGTGATGGTTACGACAACACTATCGGTTTGTTGCTAACCGGCGGTGATGGCCCGTTTGTATTTTATTATTTTATAATTTATTTTAATTTATATTTTTTCGTGGAATCGGGTTTCGCTTTATATACGCTACGTAGACGACAGGTCCATCAATATTAAACATTACAAATGTTACGATTACAATTCAAATGTTCTTATCCACATCTCGATCCCTCAAAATAAAAAAATGTTCTTGGACTTCACACATGCTTCTCGACTTCCTATAATAATCTAGCGAGCCGCTCTGGGCCATACTGGACTTTGTACTTCATGGATTGTGCAATGGAAAATACTCCATCTTTTTCCAATACCTCGGCTAAGATGAATTTTGCCAGCTCCGATTGTAGTGCGACGATCTCCATGTCTAGCAGCCTTTCATGCTTATATTTGTTGTGTTGTCGTTCAAAAAAGATGATATCCAAAGAGGAACAGTAAATCATTTTGTTGAATTATTAACAGACATAAATGAAATGGAGATTATACACACTAACTTATTGGCTTCTTCCGATTTCCTACCGATGTAGCGAAGCATTGCCCACATTACATAAAACCCACATTCATTGTTTCCCGCCGGCTGTGATAGGTACTTCCCCTCTATTTCTACAACCTTGAATGGGACCGGCGTCCCACCGATATGTCTTCTTCGGACACTGAGCAACATTAAAAGAGAAACATTAGAAAGCGGTATGTGTGATTAGAAAATAATAGTTATTAGGATCGCTTACTAATTCAGCACCGCCACCAGTGCATCTAGATGATGAAATGGTTTTTTCTTCGAGTCTCACACCCCGAGCAGATTTTTGGCAAGATTAACACAAATGAAGACGAAATGGTTGCTGCAATCATAGAATCCTAATTATCGAATAATCTTAACGAAAAAAGAAGCATAAAATTAAAAGCCGAGAACACATACTCGCAGTGTAGGCTAGAAGTACGTGGGTTTTCTTCTTCATCATGAATTCGTCAAAAACAGCAATCAATCTCTGTTTCAGGTCTTCCACGTCACATCCATAGAGGCCTAAACATGTCCTCTCATTGACTCGCATGGGGTTCAAGAAGCCTATGTAATCCCATTTGATTTTTAGAATGCAAAATTTTGCTATACACCTACATAAAAGCATGGGAAGTGCTCAAAAGTTAATAATTTATGTCTCGAGAGAGTAGTTAATTGTAATATCGTGCATGTAGGGTACTTACATAGTCCACAACGTCAACATTTGAACATCGAGAGAGCGTTTCTGGTATAGCTAAAACAAGCACTCCCACTCGACATCGAACTTCTCTTCTTCAGGATATTGAAAACATGTGGCGAACGGATAATAACCTCAAAACCAAAGTCGTCCGTCTCTGTTGCTTGAGCCATGTAATATTCATGTAACTGGCGCATATATGTTGTTAGATTTTTATACTCATGATCGGGAACCAAAAGATTGCCCCTTTCATACTTCATTGCCGGTGTTCCCGTCCCTTGTACATCATAATAGATGTTCACGGCCTCTTCCATGGTTAAATCAGGGTTGTCTTCGACTAACTTCATAATGTTCCTTAAATCTTTATTGTGTATTTCTTTGTCTCTTGTTGTAGCATATTTATTCTGTGTTTGCCTTTCGAATTCGGATTTCAACAAAAACGGAGGCAGTGAGGCACATAGATTGAAGAAACTAACACAATCTTCCTTCGAGATGTGTGCTGTAAATTTGTCTTTCATCAAGGTGGTAACGCTGCCACTGAACGGCCTTTTTCTTTTATGTTGGTCCACTTTGGGAGCATTAGCGACCGAATCCAAGGACCTTTTCTGCGACTGCGAGGATGTCCTTGATCTTGTTTTGGGCTGAGGTGGAGGAGGAGGATGACGATAAAAATTCTGTTTTCTCGGTGCTGATGAAGATGGAGGAGGAGGAGGAGGAGGAGTCTCTTTTCTTGGGGCTGATGAAGATGGAGTCGAACGAGGAGGAATAGAAGGAGACCTCTGTCTTCTAGGGGGTAATGGCTCCGGATGAGGAGGGGAGTGATCTCTGTTGGGAGATGGTGAGTGATCATCGTGGGTGGGCAAGACTCACAGTTGTCCTCATCATCAGAGGACAATTGATGGTCAAGCTTAATGAAGCGCTTGCGCCAGGCGACTTGAGAGCCCTTGTTTTGACCAAGTTTTAGCCTGTCTTCCGCTACGGGGTACTCAATGGGTATCTTGTTATACTTCTTATCAAGTATTCTGTCAATGATGACGCGAAGCGTACCCTAGTGGAATTGGGCGGTCATTAATTGTCCCATTTCCTGCAGGCCAGGCCTGGCCGACCGCCACCTTGTCCTTTGTCCATTCCTGACGGATGTACAACCTGACATTGACGGGTTCAGTGATGTCGTCCACCAGATGAGGCACATTTGCCTCTTCTTCGTCGAGCGGGGTTGATCCGCAGCTGCTGCGACCCCTAAACTATGGGCTAAAGGCACTAGGAATAGGGTTTTGTGGTACTACTGACCCCTTGGACAATAAAATTTGCTCGACTCGCGCTTGAATGGTCGCCTCAATCCGTGCTTCCATTCTGTCTTCCATCTCTTTTAGTCTCCTCAAATACTCTGCCTCATGTTCTGCTCTACCCCTCGAGCGGCTCCGGTAAGTGTTAGATTCTTGGGGGAATGCTAGTTTCCAAGGAACAACACCGATTCCTCTAGTGCGACCAGGGTGCTCCTTGGTTCCGAGTGCTTGGGTGAGCATGTCTTTCTCCCTATT